GGCGTCGCCCGTCCCGGGGCGCCTGGCGGGGTCCGAGGAAGGAGGCGCGGGACCGTCTGCTCTAGACCCGGCTGCGTCAACCCGCAAGGCGCCCGGGAGAGGCCAGTTTGAGCGCGGAGTTCCAGGACTCCTCTGCCCACCCTCTAAACGACGCCCCTCCGGGACCTTAGACATCCCGGCCCAAGGGCAGGGTAGAGTTGATGCCCTGGGCTGGCACCCCCATATCTAGTTTACGGACCTGGAGGGCCCACCTGAGTCCTGATTCAAGCTCGCCTCGGCTAAAAATTAGCCAAATTGAGGCTGGAGGACACCGCCAGCCTCTGGGAGGCGGGGATGGGCTGGGCCTCCTGGAGGAGGACTAAGTTCCAGGTAGGGAACCAGCCGCCCAGGCCACCTGTGGCATCTCTTTGGCGGTCCTTGGCTTCTGAGCATTGACTGCAAGTTCTTGGCCGGATGCGCCCCCAGCCAGGCTGGGGATCCTGAGCACTGAGGGGGTTCCCATTTCTCTCCTGGCCTTGGTAGTGGGTTTAGCTGGCTTTAGCCCACCCCTCCAAGTTTAGAAATAATTGTTTTGGGGCTTTACTGTTGAGTGTTACTTGAAAACTTGAACTTACTCTTAAGTTCTTTAAAAGACAAATTCTGTCTTCACCTAAGAAGTGGTGAGGACATTAGAACTGAACCTTGGGTATTGAGGAACAGCGACTTGAGTTTAGCCTGATTATTTATTTGTTATTATTATTTTTTTTTATTCTCAACACACATTGTTGTTCCCTCCCAGAGGAGAAGGGAAGCATAGCAAAATCATTTCAGAAGTTCAGGAGCTGAAGTTTAACTGAATTCTCATAAATGATTCTCTATTCTTTCTTCTTATCCTTAAGAGGAATATTTCTTATAATCAGGATTATTAGAACAATCAGGTGGTATCCCTAATTGCACATTTATAAATTGTCCATTAAGGAGCTAGTCCTAATTGTAAATTTACATAGCTTATTGTTAGGAGTAATATATTTGGACTGTTATCGTATCTGAAACTTCCAGTTTTTATGGAATGTGGCCTAAAGGCTTTTTACCTTTCCAGGTGTTTCTCCTATTAAACATTCATATTAAACATTCACCTTCTCCTCAGCTTTTATATTTGCACTTACTTTGTCCAAAGAATATTGTTTTCGAAAGCTGTTAAAAAGCAATTTTAAGGAAGTCATAAATGACATTATAAACTTATGGAACAATTCTTGCTAAAGTATCCATGAAGGTGTTGGTTTAGGTTTTCCTCCCGGAATGAGAAGAGGCACCTATGCTAAGGGTCTGTCTTGTCACAGCCTGGCTGCCAGTTGCTGGCCTGATGAAAGTTATGACAAGCCTCACACCTTCACAGTCTCTCCAGAGGTATTCGTTGTTGTCATAAACTTCACACTCTAAGGCAGTCATTTGACTTATGCCATTGTACTCTGAAACTACTTAACAGATAGTAAATGTCAGTGCTGATGGTGTGCACCCGACAGTGGCTTTTAAGGCACCTGTATAAATATTTGACTTTTACAGTTGTATGGTAATGCATTCTGGTATTTGGAGTTTCATATTCTTGATATTGCAATAAGTTCTCGAAGTATTTAGGCAGCTTAGGTTCTCTTCTGCTGCAGGTTACATGCTTTATCAGATTGTCTCATTTGTATTTACCAGAAAGGATGACGAGACTATGTAATGCCTGAGTAAAGCAAATAGAAAGTGAAGTAAAATGATACGACTTGGCTTTTTCATGTCACCACCTCTTACACAAGTCAAGTATGTCCTTTATTTTAAACTTCGAATGGATTAGCAATTATGAACTCTCCAGGAAACTTGGTAACCTATTTATTGGATGGGGAGTAACAGTTTTGACTAAGATGGCTTGTTACCACTCGAACCTTGAAGCTACTGGGTCTTTCAGTATTTGGAGATACGAATTTGATTATAAATATTTCTGGGTTTCAGTGTTAGAGTTTTAGAAGATATTCTGTGAGATTAGTCACCATGACATACTCAGTTTAAATTTCTGTTTTCTTTTAAGGCAATTGAATGACTGTAAGTCTTCCTGAATAGTGTTAGAGGTGGTGGAAGAGGATATTTGGAGTAACTATGAACTCTTGTCAGTGTTGTAACACACCAAACACATGGAAAGAGAGGTGCGGCATAGGCCATTGGGAGTGTGGGTTCTTCTATAGGATCAAATTACAGTACAAATCCCTAGAAAGAAATGGCTTGCTACACTGTGGTCCTGCCTTAGTTGTAATTTTGAACTTTTAAAACCATTTAATTAAGATGGCTATGATGGGGCCAGCAGGTGGCGTGGTGGTTAAGGCGCTGGACTCCCGCATAGCCAACTGCAGTTAGCCTCCCTGACCTGGAGGCTGGCTCTCTTCTTTGCCCTTTCTCTGGTCAAATTAAAAAAAAAGATGAAATAATCCTAAAAAAAAAAGATGGTCATGATGATTTAACCTGTCATATTTGTTATATTATTCTGTTATTAAAAAGAATTTTATATTTTCTCGAGGTAGATTCACGCATGGGTATCCACAGTCGCCTTAGTGTGCTAGAGCCCTCGGAGAATAACTGCTGGCCTTACTCGCTAGCTGTGGGCCTTGTGGCACAGTCACCGGGTTAGTGACAGGCGTTGAGACTGACCTCCACAACCGTTAGATCTGCCTGTATTCATAGATCAAGGGATGATATGTTTAGACTATTTCTTTCGGAGACCTGTATTACAGGAACGTGTGCATTTTCAGTAAATACTGGCATGGGACCTGAATTTTAGTTTTGGTGCTGCCTCTCATTTCCTGCTTCCATAAAATAGGACTAGGTTTTCCTCCTGATATTCTTCAGTGTTTCTTAAAAGATTTGTTTGATTTGTCAAATGCACCAAGTGTGTGTCGGGTTCCCGTCACTGTGAAATACTGATGAGCAGTTTGCACTGTATGGGGAGAGTGCATAATATGAGTGTGAAGCTGATGAACAGCTTTTATCAGTAGTTGGAGTGAGGTTATGAAAGTAGAAGAAAAACAAATTTTATATTTTCATTAGCCTCTCAGAATTTGCTAAGTATTTCTGATTGTGCAAGTAATTATGCTGATTTAGTGGGGGAAGGTGGGGGGAGATTTTATAAAACCTTGATTTCATTCAACAAGTCGTGGTGTAGAATACCGAAGCATTTGAAATTATTGTACATTTTTGGAGTTAGATACAATGCAAACTTTGCGGAGATGTGATCAAAGCCTTATCTTCCCATCACTTATTAACTGAGTAAGTTGAGATGTGTTTCTGAATTCCTCTACACCTTCATTTTTTTGCTTTAAAATGATGATAGTACCACCTACTTTATAAGGATATTTATGGACCCGTAATTAGGGCCCATCCAGATAGTAGTAGTTATAATGTTGGCATTCCAATTTAGGAGCAGGTAGCCCCCACAAATAGCAGATAAACCGGCTCCCAGGTGTTTACTCAGTTTTTATTGTGTGCTAGCTAATGTACTAAGGTCTTTGACTGGGATCTCACTTTATTGTCCCATTAGTCCTATGAGGTAGGTGCGCTTGCCATCTTTCAGGCACAAATGAGGAAGCTGAGTCACAGAGAAGTCACCATTGCTGTTACATATAGAGGCAGGGTTTACAGCTAGACAGTCCGACTCTAGTGCCCTTGTCCTCAGTCCTTCCTCCAGACCGCTCAAACCCCTGGGGAGGCTCAGCAGTCTTTGGGTGGAGTTCATGGAGGAGTGAAACTTCTTTGCCTAGGGTTGGCCTTTCAGGCTGCTTGCCCAAACTCAGGCTGGTCAATGATTCTTTGTCCCCACCCTAATGGAGCCACTCCCCAGGAGTGTTATTTTGCAGGTTTACCCCCTCATTCACCTCTTATTTTGCTCACTGTGGCGGCTCTTTGACCATACCAGTTGGTGTTTATGGTGGGCCATTGATCATGGACAAATGGTCTGGTGCTTTTCGAAAAAAACTACATTCAACGTGGGAGAAAAAGGTGATGTGGATTCATTGTCTCTTGGAGGAGTAGGGGGCTAAGGTGGGCAGGCCTCAGAGTGAGTGATTTTATGAACTTTTAGGGGAATTTTGCTTATTTATTATTGTTGGATATAATACATTTCTTTCTCTTTAAATTTTTCTTTTCTTTCACGAGAGAGAGAGGGAGAGAGAGAAAGTCAGGTATCTCAGTTGGGTGTGCGTTGTGACCCTCCTACCTCAGCCTTCCTCACCAGCCAGGATGATGGGCATGGGATCCCGACCAACTACACACAGATCAACCTGGGAACTGAACCCCGATCTTCCACATGGCTTCCAACATTGCAGCGCTGTGCTTCCACTGCACCTCGGTGGCTGGGCCATCATAACTTTGTCTAGTTGAACGTAAAGCATTTACCACCATGCAAAGCGACTTTACGTTAAAACCTACTGATAGACCCTAATCTGTGGCTTATGGCTAGGGCCAGGCGTTGAGCCACCTGGACCTTCTAATTGAAGAGAGAGGATCACAGGGGTTGGGAGGGTGAGAGTGAGGAGGGGGATGCCAGCCTACTGTATGATTGACGTCAGCATTCCCTTGTGACTCTCTCACCGCAGTTTGTGGCAGTTGATCAGGGTCTGAGGAATTGGCGTTTTTTTTTTCAAAGTCATAGTAAGTTAATTTCAGTCCACCCACTGCTGCAGTGTAATCTCCTCAAGAGTCTTAATTGCGTATTACTGCTTTTTATATCCTCCGTACATGGTCGATGTTAAATGAATGCTGGTTAGGTCAGTTAATGAGACAGTTTGTTAAATTAATGAAAGTATTAGTTGAGCCACTGTCTTATATCCAATTTCTTACTTTGGGGCTTTCAAAAAAAAGATACCCGTAACATCAACTACCAGAGACAATTGATTTTCCAGTTAGATTAAAAGTAATGAGAGAACTGAGCTGCTACATTTTGAGTAATAGTATAAATATGTGAATTACTTATAAAAGTACAAAAGTAAAGAAAACAAAATCAGCCCCGGTAGTCTTAATCACAGCTGCCATTGTCATAGATTGCTGGAAATTGTTCCTTTCCAGCAGGAGCAGAGGCCTGGTGCCAAGTGGTTATTGTGCATTATTTGAGTGATGATGCTGTTGGAAGTGTGGAGAGTTTGTTAAAAGTGGAATTTAAAAAAAAAAAATCACTCTAGGAAGCACTAATTTGAACTAAACTGTCTTCCATAAATTCATGAACAAATATTTCTTGTTCTGGGCTTGCTATATTACTTGCCGGAGTGAGCAGTAGTTCCTTAGTATATGGGAATGACTAATCTTTCTTCAATGATTTTAATAGTCCATAGTTTGCAGTTTTATTTTGTTGGAAGACTCAGGACAATAATTGCTATTTCAAGAAATACTATTGTTTACAAATATGTTATTTGTCTTGAGCTGCGTACTCGAAATTGTCAGCTTCATAAGCAGTTACGGTGACATGTGGCCTGCAAGCAGACTGGTGTTTAAATGTAATGGAAAGAAACCAGATCGTGGCTCAGGGATAACGCAGCTGGACCCACATGGGCCAGGCCTGGGTTCTCATCCGAGAACCACTTTGAGCATGCTGGGTGCACATGTACCTGTGATCCAGGCTGGCTGAGAATCGAGGTGGATTGTGGCGTGAAGACCCTATTGGGGTGCCTATCTCTCTCTCTGTCATGGAAGAATTGAATAAATAAACTTAAGCCGAAATTAATAGGATAACACCCTGGTGCCATGGGAAAAGTGTGGAATCCCTGTACCACCTGGTCCTACACTGCCTTGGAAATGGCACTTGTTTTAAACTTTTTATTTTTCAAATTTATTTTAATTTCTTTCATTCTGAGAGCCAGAGAGCCAGAGCCAGAGACTGATACCCCTGACAGGGTTCCAACACACTGTGGTCCTCCCTCCAGCCTCCCAGCCAGCCAAGATCACAGGCCAGGGCAGGCATGTCGAGTAGTGTTCCTACTGCCGCAGAATCTGAACCCAGGCCTCCCACGTGGCTCCAGTGCTGCTCAGCAGTGTCCTTCCTCTGCCTGCACCCTGCATCCATTTGCAGAGATGTCTATAGGAAAATGAGGCTCTGTAGAGGGTCCTGACTGACCTCACTTTGCTGACGTGGGAGTTACTGCACTAGCAGGAAGCAAGCATTAGCCTAGGGGTGTGTAAATTCCTTGAGATAGGGCCCGCATCTGCATACGCCTACCTGGGAACTTGGTTGAAATCAGTTGAACTGACCTCTTGCTAGAATTTTGGACTAATTTATTCATTCATTTTTGAAACTCCTGTTACTGGAAAAATTACCACAGAAGTATGTAGAACAGGAAAGGGATTTTTAAAGTCATAGCACGTATGTAAATTATGGGTTGAAAACGATGTATGGAAGGATAGGTTCAAAACGTTTTCAATGTCTGCAGTGTTTTCTCCCAATTACTGGGATGTTGGAAAAGTCATAACACATTTTTTGCATAGAAAAATACATCATGACTTTTCTGATAACCCAATATTTAGGTTTTAATTGAGATAAACTACAAACAGTAAAATCCAATATGTTTACCTACATTTTAAAGTGTGCAATTCAGTGGTTTTTAGTATTTATTCACCAATGTTGTACAACTATAATCTGTGTAATTTGTGAACATTTTCATCACCCCCAAAAGAAACCCCCTTCCCTTCCCACTTCTGCAGCCTTTGGCAGCCACTAATCTATTTTCTGTCTCTGTACTTGGCTTTTCTGATGTTTTATACAAATAGAATACGTTGTATCCCCTTATGTGTCTGGCTTCTTTCACATGCATGTTTTCAAGGTTCATCCGTGTTCTAACATGTATCAGAATTTCATTCTTTTTTTTTTTCTTGTTTCTGAGGAGCTGCCAGCCTTTTCCACCGTGTCCACACCATTTTATATTCCTACCAGCAGTTTTAATTATGAGAGGCTTCATGCACTCTCCAGAGAGAGAGAGAGGAGAGGAAGAAAGTACTCCCTAATGAGAATGCTGCAGTTCCTTCTCCATTTCTCCATCTTGTTGGGATTTTGGACACACGTGCACACATGCCCGGCATGTTTTTCAAGCTACCAGGGCAGGAATTTCAACTGCATGGTTGGCTGTGTGTGTTCCGGCTCCCTTAACCACTAGCCTATAGGTCCAGCCCATCATTCTTCTTTAAGACTGAATAATATTCCATCATGTGGTCATACTGTATTTTGTTGATTCATTATATCAGCTGATGGGCATTTGGATTGTTTCTACTTTTTAGCTGTCATGAGTAATGCTGCTCTGAACATCCCTGTACTACAATTTTCGTATGAACAGATAGATGCCTTCAGGTGTGTCTGGTATATACCTAGAATTAGGGTCACATGGCAGTTCTGTGTCAACTTTTTGGGGAACTGCCAGACTTCCCCACAGCGACTGTACCATTTCACAGTTCCCACCAGCAGTTTAGGAGCGTTAAGTTTCTCACATCCTCCCTCTCCAGCACTTTTCTTTTCTTTGTTTGAAAGCTATTCTAGTGGGTGCAAGGCAGTGTCTTTTTGTGGTTTTCATTTGCATTTCCTTTTTCAGAGCCCTAATTTGACCCACGCCTTCCCCTTTATTTTAGCCTTCTATAGCCCCTCCCACGTTTTGTGCACTGTCAGT